GTTGTCTCGGCTCCTCAAATTTAAGCATTGCGTTGAAAAAAAACTTTGAGGCTATTTTGCAAAAACAAGAAGTATGCCTGGAGTTCACAGGGCACGTTTTCTCCAAGAGATAAACAATATCTTTTGACAGCTGTCCAGGAGTCGTGCAGACGTTTGACAGAAGGCCACAAACTTAGCCACCGTGTCGGCACACTCTTGTAAAGAGCCGTGTACTCCTCGTCCACAAACTCAAACACTTCCTTTAATTCTTGCACACGTTTAGCTGAAGACGAAAAGTGGTCGTAAACTTTTGTGACTATGTTCTCAATGTCAATTCTCAGTTTATCGCCTCCCACAGTTGTGCAGAATATGGGCCACGCATTTGGCCTTGATAATTGATGCATTCTTGTCCGTCAGTTTTTTATACACAGAGTTATGCACACCATAATTGACACTGGCGTTATCAGCCGAGTATGCAGAGATCCGTTCTAACGGTTTCTCTCCTTCACATCAGAAAATCCTGAAAATCGCATCAGAGTAGGGGTGTGCGATATCACGGTTTTTGATCGTGGACGATTAAAATGTCTCCACGATCTGCTTTTGAAGAAATATCGTAGTATCGTGCATTTTATCAGTTCTGGCGCCGAGCTCCGTCTCAACATACAACAAATGTTAACGCAGAGGAACGGGACACTGCAGTTCACAGAAGTTCATTATTTGCATGTGCTTTAAAGCCTTGCTGGTTAAACATGTAATTCACGTGCTGATGCGCTGTTCTGACGTGTGCTTTCTGAGCGCATACACCCGAAGCACACGGGCACTAAAAGCCTGTCTAACAGCGTCTGTTTACTGGACTACGTTATAAGTTATCTTTCGAGTCTTATTGCGCTAATATTGTCAAATACACACAAGGTTTACATAAACAAAGTTGGTTATGTCTAAAGTGAAAGCAAACAGGAAAAAAATGAGAGAAAATCTGCTTGTCAAATGCGTGTATATTAGACGCGTCGCGTGCAGCTCTTAAAGCGACAGTAGCCAGTTAGTAAACAAGCTGCCTCTTGTCCTTAAAGAGATAGTTCACCCAAAAATAAAAATTCTGTCATTATTTACACACTCTAATGTTGTTCCAAACCTGTATTAATTTCTTTCTTCTGTTAAAAATTAAAGTTATTTGGAAGAATGTGGCTAACCAAACAGTTGCTGGTCCCCATTGACTTCCATAGTAGGAAAACATATACTATGGAAGTCACTGGACTACAGCAACTGTTTGGTTAGCCACATTCTTCCAAATAACTTTTATTTTCAACAGAAGAAAGAAACTTATTCGGGTTTGAAAACAACTTGAGAGAGTAAATGATGACAATTAAAATGTTTGGGAGAACTATCCCTTTAATGTTAATAAAACAACAAAACACAAAGAGGAAATCACTCACTGCTCTTGACTGAGAACTTTAGTAGTAGCTTTAATAATAATCAATGTATAATTTATACAGTGAAGTCTATGTTGTGTTTTATTTTCGTATTTGTTCATTTAGCCTAATTACTTTCTTCAATGCTACTGTTAAATACCCCTACTGTAGCTGAAAAAATAAAGCACTGTTTATTTCATTTGTATATTAAGTTGTGTATGCTTAATGTGTATCTTTGTTCCTAATTCTTAATAACAAAGAAAATAATGATAAAGATTTTTACCTTCACCACTTTGGCCTAAATGTCTGCCATTCTTTTTTCTTTTGTTACCTATAAGGCTTTTTTTTTTAAATAGGGACATTAGTTTGGCTGTAATGCTCAGTCACTTGCAAAAATAGTAAAACCAACATGAAAAAGAATCGTGATAAAATCGTTAATCGTGATTTTCCTGAAAAAAATCGTGATATGATATTTTTGCCATATCGCCCACCCCTACATCAGAGTTTTCGTTGCAATCATCATAAAAGTCCAACAGTTTGTTCTGCACTCCTAGGTCGGGTGTGTAATATCTTAATGCTAATAGGAATAACTTGGTTGTTCCATGGTTTGATGCATCAGACACAATGGAGAAATGTGGAAGAGAATCCGGTCTATCTGCAATCATTGGCGTATTTAACTGTTTCAAGCATGCTTCTAAAGATGCTGGTGCAAGCACACCTGTAACAATGGATTCACTCTTCGTTCTGGACATTTTTTAATATTACTCTGATTGTATTTGTCTGAAACAATGTCATATACACCTAGTATGGCTTCAGGGTGAGTAAATCATGGGCTAATAATTTTTTTTGGGTGAACTATCCCTTTAATATGCATGTGCATACCGACACCGTTTTCACAGATGCATGTTTTTGAAGTTTTCACGGAGATGATAACGGTATTTCAATTTTTTTTTATTTCTATTGCTTTGAAACCTGTTTCAAAGTTTGCACTCTCAGGCCACCAAACCACTGCTGTCGTGTAAATGAACGGCCGAACCGCACAAAAGTTTTCTGTTTTTGTTTAAAACGGTGTCGTGTAAGCTGCCTCTAATTAATAACTAATGATTTTTACAATGGTAATGAATCAATCAAAAACTTACTTAAACTAGACAATGACTTTGTCCTAGATCTGCTATACAACCAAAGCAATATTTGTTGCATTAATTTTCTATTATCACTGTAAAGCTGCTTTGAAAAAATCTGTATTGAAAAAAGTGATATATAAATTAAGGTGATTGACCTAAAGAACAACCTTGCTAACACCCCAATGAACCAGCCCAGTCTCATCCCAAGACGTCATCTGTCTGACGCTTTTGACCATACGTCAACATCCGACGTTTTAGGGTACCCTTTAACGTCAGTTAGATGACGCTATCTAATCCTAACCCTACCCCAGACCTTAACCTACCCGCGTCATCTAACTGACGCTAAAGGTAAAGCGTCAGTTAGATGACGCCCTAGGATCGTCATCTAACTGACGTTAAAGGGTACCCTAAAACGTCGGATGTTGACGTATGGTCAAAAGCTTTAGACAGATGACGTCTTGGGATGAGACTGTGTTAAATGAACATGTCAAAAGTGACATACTTCATGCTCCTTTTCAGTATAGTAAATTTGCCATTAACAGATACTTAAAAGTTTTACATACCTAAGTTATGATATGTCTTTGCCTATTTTTTCTTTGCTTTTTGATGTGTGAAAACGAATAAGAGCCAGTGAAACTTTGCAGAGTGCAGAAATTCCCACTGAAGCATTTCCTTGGATCAGTCTTACCTTTTTGAAGTCCCTGTGTGGCAACGGGTCTCTCTCTTTCTTTCTTTTTTCTTTGTGGAAGAAATTTTCTTTAAGATGTGTGACCATTATATGGCAGTAAAAGAGCACACACAAACCTCATTCTAATATGGAATTGTATTGGAATGGTAAAGAGTGTTGGTAGGTGACAGAAGGGCCTCCACTCAGGGTAAATATGATGAACAAGTCCAAGAATGTTCCACATCGTTGAAATACCATCATTGGCCTAGAAAGATGGGAGTCAAAACTATAATAGAGGAAGGATGCCCTCACTAAGTTTCCATCCACTTGTCAATCGAATTATCTGAAGTTCGGTAAAAAAAACTCATGCGAATAAAGCTGGTGAAAGTGTGTTTCCATCCAACGGCGTTAAAGTGAATAAAAACCTGTATGTAATGACGTCACATGCTGTTCAAATTGGTATATCGAATTGATTAGAGACATTTTAAGGTGTTTCCATTCATTTTCGCACTGAATCGCACAACATTCAAGCAAACATTAGCTAACAAAGTTTTGCTAGACAAAATGGATCGCGCCATCTACCAACAAATGATCAATATTGCACAAGTTGTAGCCTAATAGTGCTTATGTGCCAGCTGAAAGCGACATCAGCCTCCCCTCACTGTCACACTCTGCAGCCACTCTGTGTGACTGTATGACTGCTGACCTTTTCTTGCAAGAAAATAAACCTCATCAAAGACAGTTGGAAATGTTTGTCTCTTATTCAGTGATAGAGTTTGTTTGCCACCACATCTTCTAGATTCCTGTTGACGGAGGCTGGCACCAATCCCCATCGTCCCGCTGACTTAACATTCAATCTCACCAATCCTGTTACCCTGTTTACCCTTCTTGTTGTTCTATGTTCTGATAGCATACATTGTCAATTCATTGTGTTGGACGACATTGTGATTTGTTATCTTCCCCTTTGTCTGTGTTAGTTATGCTACATAACTGTCACATGACCTTGTTACGTTGCATGTTGAATTCAACAAGTGTTGTTCAGTTATCTCCGAATTAAATATTTTCTATTAATCCACTTTATGTAAAACATCTACCAACTCTAGGATGATTTAAAGAAAGATTAAAGGATGAGATATTTAAAATCATGGCTTATGATATTACTTATGGGTTGCTCATTACATTGCAAATGGACGGCCCATATTGAGTCTGTTGCATTGTAGGATAAAATACCCAGTACAGTGTGCTCTGTTGAATATTGCACTTACTGCAAAATAAATCATTCAGGTGTTCTTTACATACATAAATACTCGTATGCATACTGTACACTAAAGAAACAATAAGAGTCGTATGGTTCTATGCTGTACTGAACATGGCCTAAAGTCAGTTTGATAAATCTGTAGGAACACAACACCTATCACAGCATTTCCATTTAAGTGACTTTTTCAGTTATTCTTCAGTGGCTTCATTGTGTTGCTCAGAAACTATTACCCTCCATCATCCCCAGCTCTTCCTCTTGTCTGCAGTCAGTACCTGTCCTGACATATCTTAATGCCATTTCATTATTGTTATCAATAGCACTAATGATATCTGTAATACATTTTGTTGTTTGGGTTCTGTTTAACAGGGGTTTTTTATCCCTGCTCTTACCCATTCTGCGCTGCATTGATGGACAGGGAGTTCTTGCCTGGAAACGATCTATATCACCAACCCAAACTCTATGATAAATGTCAATCATCTTTGATGGTAATGGTCCTGACAGAACATTAGATTAGTATTGTCTCCTGTCAACCATTTACCTAATACAAAAAATGTCATCATAAATTAGATAATAATCTGTTTTTGTTTATTATCTTGAACTGATACAATCCTTTGACAAAAGCATGTCTGCAATGTCAGCTCACTCATAGACCATGCACTCTGAAAACATTCAGGAATCTGTCAAATCGGCATAGTTTCTTATGCATTCCTGTGTTTCAGTCGGCTCCGCTATGCTAAGGACGAAACTCCAGCTCCTTGTAAAGGTGTTGTTTGAGCCAGGGCATCACTGAGAACACACTGATGTGGAAGTCCCGGGCGTCGAGAGGCCTGTTATCTCTGACAGCTGTCCTTGAGTCACATGTCTGCTTAGTGCCCCAGCTAATGACTGCCACCTGTGGGAGAATAACAGAAGTCAAATGATTTGAGAAGTCAAGAGTTTTGCTCTGGGGTGTGTTTCCCGAACAATGACGTAACTCGCTGCTTAACTAACCATAGTACGATGCATCGTTGAAGAAATCAACTAGCTAGTCACGACTGTTTCCCGAAACCGTATTGTCGCAAATTTGTTGTTCAGTAATAACTTATTTTAATGAATACGTTTAAGATCGAATTAATGCTAAAAGTTTTGCTATAAATTACAGACATGGCATCTGAGAACTATGTCCCATTTTTCTTAGTTATTTTGCTTAGTTATTTCCAGATTCAATCATAGTTCTTACGTACTAGAGCATGTACATGCTCACTCTTCAAAAATGACGCTTTAAATCTCGGCAAACTAAAAGATGAAAATGACATTTGTATATATTAGAAATAAAATATATATATACACTGAATGTCAGCTTGCTTATTTTGCTGAAGATAAGGATTTATTAAGTCCACATATCACATATTATTCGGGAAACACAGACTCGCGACCATGCTTGGCTAACGATGCTTTCAGGAAACGCACCCCTGTTTAGTTTTAGGGTTTGTTCACAATTGTAGTTTGGTTCTCTTGGAACTTTTGGTCTGGACAAAAAAAAAAACAATTATACATTTAGTCCTGGTTCACTTAGCGTTCACTCTGTCATTTTTAACGCCGAACTTAAAGATAAAACAAAAAGGAACAGCTTTTGTGACTGAACTTACCGATCATTCAAAACAATGCTGTGTGCTGCTGGACTTAATGCGCTCATCGTGTGTATGTGCATATTATGGTATTTTTCTAGCTGAAACTCGTGAAGAGCTTAGAAAATGTGCAAAAGAGTAAAAACAGAGGCAGGAATACCTCCGTCACACAAACAAAGATATGCTTTAAGAAGACGCCTGTACTGAACTGTAATAGCCAACTTAGCTCCAATGACGAGAAAATCCAGTGTTGCATCCGAAATGGCAAACTTCCCTTCTATATAGTAGGCAAAAAAAATAGTATTTGACAAAAGAAGTAGCCTATGTCCGAATTCACAGTACTCATAAAAGATTAGGCAAAAAGTACCCTGATGACCGACTACTTTCGGTGAGATTGAGGCCACAGGAGAAGATATATGAGTGGCAGTAAAACGACGCAACTGACGCTGGTGGGTCACATGATAATGACAACATGGTGGATGTAGTCAGTCTGGATTACATTCATACTACACACATTCATACTATATAGAACATACTTTTTTAGTAGTTACACAGTAAGTCGCATGCAAAAACAAGTGAGAACCAAAGAAATATGAATAATTGATTATGTTGAAGTCAGTGTAAGCTTTTCCCCGTGAGCTTTGTTTTTCTATGCATTTTTTTGCATATCAAAATAAAACCCTTAGCTGCAGTTTGCCTTCTTTGCCAAAAAGTAGTCAGATAAATACCTTAACAAAGTTTAGTTATTTGCTCTTCCCTCGTATTTAAAAAAAAATATATATATATATATATTTTTTTTTTTTGATGGTTTAAACGAAATTGTAGGGTCATTAAAACACTACTGTACATATTCACACTTATGAACACTGATCTCTCTAATTAACTTATCCTGGTGATAAATATTGTCTATATTGTAATATGAATATTGGAATTATTGGAATATGAAGTGGAAATTTATCCTAGAAATTTCTTATTTGCCAGTGATATCAAGACATATTCTTTAAAAACACGTAATATTATCTTACATTACTTTGATTCAAGTAAAAGTATTATTAAGAGAAAAGAAACCAGAATAATTTTTGTTCTTTGCTGTGCACTTTAACTTCCACCTCGGGGGCTCTCTCTTTATCAAAGTGAAAGAAATTTGAAAATAAACTATAAAGCACTCACTTGAAAATATCGCATCCTCTTACGTAGAAAGAGAGCTCCTCCAGAATCCCCTGCAAAGAATTGCACTCATTATGTGTCAGCTCAGTGTGTAGATATGAATATATATACACTCACCGGCCACTTTATTAGGTACACCTGTCCAACTGCTCGTTAACACTTAATTTCTAAGCAGCCAATCACATGGCGGCAACTCAGTGCATTTAGGCATGTAGACATGGTCAAGACAATCTCCTGCAGTTCAAACCGAGCATCAGTATGGGGAAGAAAGTTGATTTGAGTGACTTTGAACGTGGCATGATTGTTGGTGCCAGAAGGGCTGGTCTGAGTATTTCAGAAACTGCTAATCTACTGGGATTTTCACGCACAACCATCTCTAGGGTTTACAGAGAATGGTCCGAAAAAGAAAAAACATCCAGTGAGCGGCAGTTCTGTGGGCGGAAATGCCTTGTTGATGCCAGAGGTCAGAGGAGAATGGCCAGACTGGTTCGAGCTGATAGAAGGGCAACAGTGACTGAAATAACCACTCGTTACAACCGAGGTATGCAGTAAAGCATTTGTGAAGCCACAACACGCACAACCTTGAGGCGGATGGGCTACAACAGCAGAAGACTCCACCGGGTACCACTCATCTCCACTACAAATAGGAAAAAGAGGCTACAATTTGCAAGAGCTCACCAAAATTGAACAGTTGAAGACTGGAAAAATGTTGCCTGGTCTGATGAGTCTCGATTTCTGTTGAGACATTCAGATGTTAGAGTCAGAATTTGGCGTAAACAGAATGAGAACATGGAACCATCATGCCTTGTTACCAGTGTGCAGGCTGGTGGTGGTGGTGTAATGGTGTGGGGGATGTTTTCCTGGCACACTTTAGGCCCCTTAGTGCCAATTGGGCATCGTTTAAATGCCACGGCCTACCTGAGCATTGTTTCTGACCATGTCCATCCCTTTATGGCCACCATGTACCCATCCTCTGATGGCTACTTCCACCATGTCACAAAGCTCTAATCATTTCAAATTGGTTTCTTGAACATAACAATGAGTTCACTGTACTAAAATGGCCTCCACAGTCACCAGATCTCAACCCAATAGAGCATCTTTGGGATGTGGTGGAACGGGAGATTCGCATCATGGATGTGCAGCCGACAAATCTGCGGCAACTGTGTGATGCCATCATGTCAATATGGACCAAAGTTCCTGAGGAATGCTTCCAGCACCTTGTTGAATCTATGCCACGAAGAATTGAGGCAGTTCTGAAGGCAAAAGGGGGTCCAACCCGTTACTAGCATGGGGTACCTAAAAAAGTGGCCGGTGAGTGTATATATATATATATATTTTTTTTCAATCAAACCTTTGCAAGTCATTTCATGTCTGATTGTCTCGGTTCCTCCAGTGCACATGAACCTGTCTGTGATCACTTCTGACAGAGATGCGCTGCTGTTTGCAGGGAAGGTGGATCTTGCTTTCTTTAAGCATTCACTTCTCTGTGGAAGAAAGTTTCATATTATAATATACATAATCGACTAAATTATAGGATGCACTGATTAAATAATCAAATGGATCACATGAAATTACATTACAAGTGAATTATTGTTTGTTTTATTTCCATTATATTGAACACAAGTCTATCACTGTCCTTCAGTCCTACATCCTATTCACAAAGGGTGTGTTCTTACTTCAAGTCTTTCTGTTTTAATTGTTGGTCTATGTACAGCTGTGGCCAAAAGATTAACCAGTGACAAATTCTGTGCAAACAAATCACTGCAAAACTGAACTTTGCTGCTTCCGTTTTTACTGTGTTGATGCACATTTTTTCTAGATTATTGTGCGGAGGGATCAGATGCATTTTAAATAACTGCAAAAAGCTTCACTTTATCACAAAAACCCTAAAATATGTTTGTTATTTTTTTTTGGCCCTGGCATCTAACATCATTTCACTTATCATATAAATAGCTCATGAGAAAGTGTGAACGAGTACAATTCTGGTAAAATCACTCTATCATTCTCATTGAATTATGAGAGCAAACTTATTGCATTAAAGGAAGGAAAGAAGTGTTTCCAATCATTGTGTTCTTGTGTTAGCAATGGTTGCCTCCAAAAAAAGACTTGCAGCCATCATCGCTTTGCATCAACATGGCCTCACATGCAAGGAAATTGCTGCCAAGAATATTGCACTTGAAATAACCATTTACCGGATCATCGAGAACTTCAAAGAGAGAGGTTGGACTGTAGTGAAGAATGTTTCAGGATGTCCCAGAGGGTCCAGAAAGAGTAAATGGCTACAGAATCGTGTCACCACCAGTGCAGAGCTTGTTCTGTATTGTCAGTAGGTGGGTGTGATGCATCTTCACGCACATTGAGGCCAAGTCTTCTGGATAATTGCCTGGTGTCAAGAGGAACAGCAAAGAAGCCACTTCTCTCCATGACAAACATCAAGAACTTACTGAAATTCTGTAGGAGGTACAAGGATTGGATGGCAGAAGACAGTGCAAAGTTATTTTCTCAACTGTTTGGGACATCTGGAAAATAGATTGTCTGGAGAACAAAAGGTGAACGCTACCATGACAGCATTGTCACCAGCCATATCACCCTGTAGCCCAAGACTGGTTGCCCACTGAAGCTAAGCAGGGCTGAGCCTGGTCAGTACCTGGATGGGAGACCTCCTGAGAAAACCAGGTTGCTGCTGGAAGAGGTGTTAGTGAGGCCAGCGGGGGGCGCTCTCCCTGTGGTCTGTGTGAATCCTGACGCCCCAGTATAGTGACGGGGACACTATACTGTCAAAGAGCACCGTCCTTCTGATGAGACATTAAACCGAGGCCCTAACTTTCTGTGGTCATTAAAAATCCCTGGATGTCCTTCGAAAAAGAGTAGGGGTGTAACCCCGGCATCCTGGCCAAATTTGCCCCTTGGCCTCTGTCCATGATGGCCTCCTAATAATCCCCATATACTGATTGGCTTCATCACTGTCTCCTCTTCACCAATAAGCTGGTGTGTGGTGGGTGTTCTGGAGCAATATGGCTGCCGTTGCATCATCCAGGTGGATGCTGCACATTGGTGGTGGTTGAGGAGATTCCCCCTTCCATGTAAAGCACTTTGAGTACCCAGAAAAGTGCTATATAAATGTAACAAATTATTATTATTTATTATGAGTCCCATGCCGTTCCAACAGCGAAACATCCTGAGGCCATCCATGTGTTGGGTTGCTTTTCATCCAGGGGAGTGGGCGCTCTAACAATTCTGCCCAAAAACGCTGCTTAATAAAGAATGGTATCAAAACATCCTGCAAGAGAAACTTCTCCCATTGACTCAGGAGCAATTTGGTGATGATCTGTGCATTTTCCAGCATGATGGCGCAGCATGTCACAAGGCAGAAGTGATAATGAAGTGGCTCAGAGATCCTGGCAACTCCCTGGATCTTCATCCCATATGTTACGTCCAAGGACGTATTTTTTTTCTCTTGTGCATATGTTAAGGTCATTGCTATGTATTTTTGTGTATTGTTACTTATGCGGTTTCCCTCTCTATTTTCTCTCTATGCTGATGCTCTTCAGGTGTTGATTGTAAACACCTGCAACTCATTTACTCATGGTCATCTGTTACCCTATTCATTGGTTCCTGCAAGAAGAGGGCCAGCAATAGAAGCACCCTAAAGCCACACAGCAAGCAGAGAGATTTGGAGGTTTTTCCCCTCCCCGTGTGGACTTTTTCTCTTCTGCCCCAGATCATTTGCTAATGTTTTTTTTTTTTTTTTTTTTTTTTTAAATCAGTTCATATAAACTGCTAATTGAATTGAAGGTATTGGATTGGTTTTTGCTAGTGGTGGGCAGATCGAGGCTTAGTGAAACACTGAAACAGTTGAAGCAAATGTGCCGAATTGTGTCGAGGCTTCGAAACAATCCGACACCTGTCTCTATGGTGACCCCTAGTGGTCAGAACAGTGTAAATGCAACAAAAACCCGAGCCATACATGCATAAAACCTTTTACTAATCAATTGCAATTTTTTTATTGAAAGTAAAATCTTTCAAATGCAATCATCTAATCATCTAATAAGATTATCAAGTGTCAATATGTTCTTCTATCAATTGTATCAATTGTTTGTTTTGTTTGTTCTATGAATGGCTCAGCTAAACAGGCCAATAAGACTTTTAACTAACATTATTCATTTTAATTATACTAATGTCTAATTAAAACGTCTACAAATGTATCAAACTGGTCAGAGATCAGGTAAAACCAACAGATACTTGTTCATTGGTTCTCAGTGACTCCTCATGATTCATGGGTTGACAGATATCTTCGCCCCCAGCGGTGAACCATTGAAATTTCGAAGTGTTTCGAAACAGTTGTGACATAATGAAGCCTCGTTTACTGAAATCACTTGACTCTGGCAGTTTAAAACACCATTGTTTCGGAACAAAAGATTCGTAAAGGCTTCATGAAGCAGTGTTTTGAATTTGCCATCACTAGTTTTTGCTAAGAGCGTGCTCTGGTATACCTTCTTTGTGCTGACAGTTCAAGTTGTTAAGTCTTTTATTAGTTGAGTTATTTGGAAGCCTGTAGGGAGGTGGGTGCCGTTTTTCTTTGTAATTTATCTTTTTCTCCCGTTTTTCTGAGTGAGACAGGGAAGTTTTGCTGTTTTTCTTTTCATTTTATTTTTGTTATAGGTAATTTATTAGATTCAAATTAGAATATTTTTGTTTATTATTTTGGCCTTGCTCACTCCTGAAGCTTTTGTTCCCTTTTTTTCCTGTTTTAATGAATTATGCTTCAGTTTGACCTCTGGTTGTCAGTGTTCATTCGTGAGCTGGGGCTGGAGATGAGAAGTTTCCCATGGTCTCTCTCATCTCATTGTTACATTTTCCCTTAACACCTAGACATAAAAAGGGGAGATCGTAACACATAGAGAACCTGTGGTCAATCCTCAAAAGGTGACTGGACAAGTAGAAGTACACAAATTGTGATCAACTTCAAGCACTAATAATGTAAGAATGGATCATAAGTCTGGTTTTGGCCTATAAGATGATATCCAGCACACCAGAGAGAATTGCAGAGGTTATGAAGAAGAAGGGTCAACACATATTCTTTGCATATGTTGAATGTTTTTGGCAATAAAAGCCTTTAAAACTTAAAACTGCATATCATTGTTTTCCAGTATACCATAGAAACATGAAAAAAAAAAGATCTATGAATAATGAAGCAGTAAACTTTGCGAAACAAGTTTATGTCACTGGCAAACTTTGTATTCTGTGCTGCCGCTCTGAGACCCATCATCTGCAGAGCCATACATGACAGCATTTTCTGACTGGCAGCACCGGGCAAGCAGTCTCAGAGCTGTTAAATGCCTAACCTGCTCCTAACCTCACTAAAACTATAAGCTCCACCATATGAATGCCTAAACCCACCTTTAACCTCACTGACACTATAATCTCCTGCTGACCTGGTGCTGCGACTTTGAACGTGGCATGGCTGTTGGTGCCAGACGGGCTGGTCTCAGTATTTCAGAAACTGCTGATCTACTGGGATTTTCTCGCACAACCATCTCTAGGGTTTACAGAGAGAGAATATATCTAGTGAGCAGCAGTTCTGTGGGTGAAAATGCTTTGTTGATGCCAGAGGTCAGAGGTGAATGGCCTGACTGGTTTGAGCTGATAGAAAAGCAATAGTAACTCAAATAACCACTCGTTACAACCAAGGTCTGCAGAAGATCCTCTCTGAACGCACAACACGTGGAACCTTGAAGCAGATGGACTATAGCAGCAGAAGGCAAACTGATGCCACTCCTGTAATGATTTCCATTACACGAGAGTAGATGTTAACCCTCTGGGGTCTGAGGTGTTTTCAGGGTCCTTGGGATGTTTTGGCATGCTCTGACATTTCTGCTTTTTTCAGTTGCTTATAAACATATTAATGGCACAGGTTAAATTACACTCTATATAGCACACACAGGGCTACCATAATATGTGAACAACATGTTAATACATGTTTGTATTGTTGAGAGAATATTGTTTATGCGTGGTAATTGAAAAAACTAAAAAATAAAGTTTCTAATATAAGGCCACAAATAACATACTAAATATCTGTCCACAAGACTTTTGACTAGTGGATGTTGTCGCCTAGAGTTTTTGCTTCGAATTGATCTGAAAATCATTCTGCCTAATCATTCACATAAAACAATAGATTGTTTTAAATTGTGAAAAACATTTTTTTTTTGCAAAGGCAATATGCGGATGGGCGGAACGGCCCAACCCCCTCATGAATAATTAGGCAGTTCTCACCTGAGCAGACTGCATACTAATGAGCCTTTCATTCAGTGGTGTCACACAAGAAAGAATGCAAGGACAATATATATATATAAATAAATAAATATGTATACACACACACACACACATATATATATATATATATATATATATATATATATATATATATATATATATATATATATACACTACCGTTCAAAAGTTTGGGGTCAGTGAGAATTTTATT